AAGGCCAGATTTCTTGGCTCAGCTACCATGGCCAGTGAGTCCGTTCTAACTTGGTTTGGGGGGCAATAAAGCAATTAAACCTCTTCAAGGCCTGAATCAAAAGTCTTCCCCTAGTCTCTTCACTATGATGGAACACATGGAACAATCCATATTATTATTTATTGTGTCCCCAAAGTCCAATTAATAATGTACAAAGCATGGAGAAGACTGATCTGCAGGGAGTTTATAATAGAATCCACATTAGACATCAGTTATTCAATCTAAATGTAATTTTCAACCCGACTGTACATCACTATACTATACTTAAATGAAATACAATTTAGGAGAAACATCCAATTTCATGCAGCTGATAATGTATTACTTTCCCCCCCTCTTCTCTACCTTTATCCTCACTTGAGGGGTCTGTAGTAAAGGGTCTGGCAGAAGGGACATGGGGAGGTGTTCCAAGCACAGGGGGCTTCTTGGAGAAGGAGGACACGACAAGATTGACGGCTGGAGAGGGAGCAGGAGGAGATGAACCGTGCAGAACCTTGACGATGTGAATGGAGAGAGAAAACTTACTGCAGAAGGAAAGGGAAATTAACGAAAACGATTCAAAGAAGGGGGAGAGAGAAAGAGAAGCTTTGCAGCAACATCTGTAAAGAACTGGAGGGGGGAAAAGCAAGTCGGGAAGCAGAAGACAGAAGAAAAGAGGCTGCAGAAGACAGAACATGAGAGCAAGCTGGGCCCAGGGTTTTGGTGGCAGGAATGGACAGATTTTAGAAATGTTGTATTGGCTACAACCTCAAAACCAAATCAGATGTCCTAGGAATGCCAGTCTCCTAAATGAAGTACTTTCTCCCAACCTCCGGATTGCTTTATAGGACGTCTTGAAAGATGAGAGTTCCCCTACCTTGCTGGAGTGGAAATTCCTGACCTCCCTGGGACTAACTTGCAAGCCTGGAAGGATGTGGTTCCACAGCTCAATACTCAGGGGGCTGCCTCCTATCTGGGAATCTGAATCACATCCTTCAAAAGTTCACCAAAGACACAGATCCGCTTTGTCCACAGGAACTGAGGGGGCTGAAACCTTGGCAAGTAGCACTGGGGGAGGGAGGGAGGGAGACTTAACAGCCGCCTTGATGGAAGTTTTGACCTGTGTGGAGTCTGCTAAAAATAGAAAGCCAGCTGCTTCAGAGAGACACCAAAGAGAAGGGGGAGGGCGAAGTGACAACTGGGAGAGTTCTCGTCTCAGGAAAACTGCCGTTCTACCAAACAGCATGGAACCAGGAAGCAGTAGCATGGAAATCTCTAGTCAGAATCTACCAGAAACACACAGTCCACAGTAGCCAGCTCATGAGTCAAAGGTTCTCTCTGGGGAAATGAATACTTCACTGGAAAACGCCACCGCAGCAAGACCAAGGGTCCAGAGATTGCCCCACAAGCTCTCCCTCTTCTGCCCCCCAGGGACTGGGTAATACATGGCAGAAATGAGCATGCTCTCCCTTGGAGGAAAGTAGGCAGTGGGGGTGTATCTCTGTCGGTCCCAGAGCACTAGAGACACAAGGCAGGGGAGGTGATATCTTTTATTGGACCAATGTCTGTCGGTGAGAGAGACAAGTGGCAGTAGGCTGAAGGAAGTTGGCATATACAGGCTAAGTGAGCTGGCTAAGCCTTGGAAGTTTCCTCCAGAGAAAAGGTGAACCACACAACAGCACACATCCTGCTCATGGCCACTTCCTGCAACAGCGGGGAGGGAGGGAGAGAGAGAGGGGGAAGAGAAAAGGCTCCCTGCTCACAAGCACCATGCCAGTAGCCTGTGTGCTCAGGGCAGCATCCCTAAAGCTCATTTTCCTTTGCAGGGCCATGTTGCATTACACACAGATACCTAATTTCCTGTCACTGCTCAGCCTCCACATGACTTTTTCACATCCCTCCCCTTATACTTTAAAGGGTTTCCATGCTGGTATTATCTGGTGCCACTCTGTTTGTACTGCCCTGTTCCACTTTGGTGCCATCTTCCCTCTCCCCTTCCTAAAACATCTCCTGCTACACTGCCTTTTTGACCCGTCACCTTAGTCTACCCTTTCGTCCTGGTTTAAAGTTCTCTCAGCCCATCCCGCTAAAGCTTCATTACTGACATTGAAGGGCCTTTTGTTCAACATGGAGAAACCAGAAGAGCTGGTGAGATGTGTACACATTTTCCAGTGCTTCTCCCAAGCATCTGGGATATATTCATGCCCTAATCCAGCAGCTAACTGCATGCGGGCACACTCCTGCATTGGCACTGAGTTTCATTGGCTCTGATGGGGTCCTGGGAGGAGTACACCCACATGCAGGCACCTGCAGGATCAGGCCCTTAGATTTGGGGTCCCGAACCATCTTTTTGTGCTATAGTCAAGGTGCCCAGCATGAAGGAAGCCCAAGCCTTTGCTGAGGCCTCCAGGCACTGCCACAATACCAATAATACACAATACTGAATTGAAGAAAATCAGGCTAACGAGCATAAATCCTTTCACAAAATTAAGGGAGGCCTTTAGTCCTTGCAATTTTATCAGAACAATTTAGAAAGTGACCTTGAAATAAAGTGAATGAAAAAAATCTGCACATAGTAACCCTGCTCTGCAGCCTGGTGTGGATGGAAAGACCCTTGGCACCTGCCTACAGCCTGAAGCCAGGTCTACACTCATAGGGAATGCTGAATGAAGATACACAATTCCAGCTACGTCAATTACATAGTTAATTCACGTTTCCCCGCCGTCTCCACAGCGGGAGGTCGACAGGACCAAACGCTCCCATCAGCTTTCCTTATTCCTTGCACAAGCAAGAGTACCAGCCACCAGTAGTGGCACCCTCTGAGCCGGAGTGGCCCTAAACGAGCTGCTGGCAACTGGCGCCCTAGGCAAAACATGCAATCGGTGCCCCTGCCTCTAAAGCCCTCAACAGCCGTTTATCTTGGTGCCCTAAGCGACCGCCTAGTTTGCCTGTATTGACGGGCTGCTACTGCCGCTGAGTCTGATTTAGCAAGTCTTTTAGCAAATGGGTGTTACTGACTTCGGCAGAGGCTGTGTGGGAGTAAAAAGCCCACACACAGGACCAGCCCTATGTGGCAAAATGCACTCCTGGATTATGGCTACAGCAGCAAGTCAGTCTCTTAGGGTATGTCTAGACTACATGCCTCTGGAGACAGAGGCATGTAGATTAGGCTACCCGACACAGTAAAATGAAGCGGCGATTTAAATAATCGCCGCTTCATTTAAATGTACATGGCTGCCGTAGGGGACCCCAGGCGTTTCCACTCCACCGAAATCCAATCCCAGACTCTGGGCTTGGCAATTCAGTTGTGCAGCCTCTGAAAGGGTGTCACCAAAACCTCATCCTACAAGGCATAATGGGGAGGTCGATAAAGGGCTTTCAGGTTGGCGTGGGAGCGTCCAGACTAGCGCACTGAGCCGACAAACAGCTGATCAGCTGTTTGTGGGCTCAGCGCGGCAGCCATGTACATTTAAATGAAGCGGCGATTATTTAAATCGCCGCTTCATTTTACTATGTCCGGTAGCCTAATCTACATGCCTCCGTCGCCAGAGGCATGTAGTCTAGACATACCCTTAGAATCATAGAGTACTAGAACTGGAAGGAATCTCAAGGGACCTAATCAAGTCCAATCCGGATATTCAAGAGCAGGTTAGTCTCAAATGAACGTACTATAGTACATGCAGCTGGTTAAATCCACTAAAATGTTCGTTTAATTCCCAGAAGCACATTTCAAAAATATTCTGGACTGGGCAAGGTGGAGCAATAAAGTCTGAACCAAAGAATGACTCTTGTCAAAATGAAAAATTGTAAATCAAGCGCAACAAATCACACTGTAGAGAGTCTGAACCACGTTTTTCTGCCTACAGCAGTGCAGACTTTGGAGATCATACTAGCTAAGATACCATGCTACAAGAGGTCCCGTTAACATGAATGGGAAGAAAATGTTCTTCACCATGAGTAAATGTGCCAGAAGTAGGCTTAAGTCATGCCCCCCAACACAAACTGCAGCCAGTTTCTAACAGAATGTTTGATCTTCAGAGTGGAGAGATAATCAGGGGAGGATGCACCACAGATTAGCACTGGGTCCAGCATTACTAAACCTGCTTACTAAGGGATATTTTCGAAGGGACAAGAGACATCAACTCTGGTGGTTAACCGTTTACCCAGCAAGCATGCCTGCATCGTGGCAGGCCTGGCTGGACCGGAGCAGCCCGCAGCAAGGCGGGACAGGCTAGAGAATACCCCACCCTCACCATGTGGGGGGAGCGCTCCCACCTCAGCCTGGCCCACCGTGCCGCAAGGCCACTCCAGCCCAGGTGGGCGGGAGCAGCACCCCACCACAGGATCACAGTTAAACGGTTAAACATTACATTTAACCAGTTAACTTTTTAATGGTAATTTTACATCCCTAATTTGGACGTCGTGAAGTCTCCCCATTCCCTCCCAAAACTTTGGAAGAAGTAGACAGCGAGTAGCTGATGCTTGCTGGTGATGCTGTTTTGGTAGTAAAATGAGAGCAGAGAAATTCTACATGACCTGGACGCACTGAGTGATTGGGCACCATGATGAAAGATTAACTTCAGTCTAAGTACATTGACAAAAATAGTCTAAACTTCTCATTTGCTGAAGGTCTCTGATCTCTGAATAAAAATAGCTGCTGAGGGCAAGGACTATTTTGGTTTGCTTGTTTATGCAGAATCCACCACATGACAATGCTCTGGCTCCTGACAGAGGCCACCCATGAGCTACAGTTTGCCAAAACTCGAACTAGCATAGAATAGAAAAGAGGCTACTGTGATGAGGAAAGAAAATATTAATGGAGCAACCCAAGTCTTTAAAAACACTGGCTGTATCAGTGTACAGTAGTAAGATTCTATAGTAAAGCAATGATGTCGCAGTGCTTACACACACCCCTGTGGAGGGGAGGGGTTGTCAAATAATTATCCAATTAAAAAGCATGCAGTTGTGAGTTCTCAGATGCTTACCTGACATCATTACCACCATGGGCGAAAGATCCAAAGCAAGCTGTCAGGATCTGGAGAAAGTGAAAAAGTAGGTGGACCTGAGAAGTGTCCTTCTCCTCCTTTTCCTCTTCTACAGGATCTTCTGGGAGTTGGTTAGGCTCTGCTAAGTCTGACGCCAACTTCATTTCCACATCCCCTTCCTCTGCCTCAATTTCCGCCTCAGCTACTGCATTGCAGTAGCTGGAGTAGCTGTCATAGCGAACTCTCTTTTTAGAATAGGACACGGTGTCTCCCACCAACTTTTCACTGTCCTCTGGGGTTGTCGGGTCAGCTGCCTTGAAGGATGAATGTACTGGCATTCCACAGATGGCCGCCGTGTAACAAGTGTAGCTGTTATTGCGACGCAGTATCTTGTAATTGTTTTCTTGTGAGGGTCGGTCATTGTTTGCTCTGTCCAGATGTATTTTGTGTAGCAAGTCTTTGTACAATCCTGAGTCTTTATGCACAGTGTGATACACCTGGCCATCGCTCCTCATGGAGCCGTCAAAATTAAATGTGCCATTGGAAACAGGAGATTTCATAGTTGTGTGCGTCATAGAAAAAGCCCTTCCTGTAAAGGTAGATGGTCAGATTTTATTTCTGTCATATGAACGTCCTATGCTTAGCAGAGTACCAAAACAAGGTGTAAATAGCTGATAGGTCAGCCATCTGCAGCATATAATACAGACGTTCATCTCAGATCCCAGAATGCATTGCTCAATTGGAAAACAGACATGGTTGACATTAAGGGAGCGCCTACAGTTGGGAGTATGGATAGCTTTATGGTTAAGGCATTAGTTTGTACCTCAGAACATTGTCGCTCAAGTCTAGGATCTCCCACAGACCTGCTGTGTGACTGGGCAAGTCCCTTAGGCTGGAATTTGAGTGCTTAATTCTAGGCACCTTTTAAAGACCGACCCATAATCTCTCTATGCCTGAATTACGTATTTCTAAACTGGGAGTAAATACTTCCTTTCAACTTGCCTTTGTTTGGCTTGTCTATTTAGACTGTAAGTATTCCAGGACAGGAACAATCCTTTGAATATGGGCTTCTGTAGAATAAGGGGACATTTTTCAAAAGTGCTGAGGTGACTTAGAAACCTAACTCCCATTTTTAAAAATGCTTATGTCACTTTTGATAATGGAGATTTAGGTTTAGATTTTTTCCCTAAATGAACAATAGAGTGCTATGCAACTTTACTGGTAATCAATCATTAGAGTTGGGGACAACTGATTGTCAGACTCCATAAACCTGAACCCCAAAGCTTATGAATAAAACCTTATTACAACTGCAGGCTCTCCAAAAATCTTACAAATAAAGTTGCTAATGGCGTCCAGTTAAAAGTTCAGAAACAGGAAAGTTAAAAGTTCCTTCAGAAATGTTAAGACATATTAAATATGCTATACATTTTACTTCTAGTAATACCATAAACATAGTGACACACAGCTATTTGTATCTCTATCCTACGCTTATCTACACGTTTATGTTAAATGTGGACTTCAAGATTCACAGAGTAGCCAAGTTAATATTACTGAAGACACCGTAACTTTTCCATGTTCTCACTTTGGGGATTTTAACTATTCAACATTAGCTATAGTTGTTTTGTTTTACATTAAAAAGCTCTGCAGTGCATTTATGGATGTAATGTATCTAATTAGTTTGTTCTCACAAGATCAATGGTCCGCTATGAACAGCAACTATATAGGGCAGTATAGACACTGCTTTGGTGTCAATGAGGAAAGCTCGCAGCTGATTCGCTAACAGGCACCACTCAGCCAAATGTGCCTCTTCCGTAAGTAAATGCGGTTTTTCACATGTGCGCTACACACAGGAATGTTCCCACGTGGCAGCATAGTTTCACCTGTGATTAATCAGCCCCGCCCAGTCAGAAGCTCAAGTCTTCTTGCATGGAGTTGACTGACTGGGCAGGGCTGATTAATCACCTATGAAGCTGTGCTGCCGCGCATCTTAGAGGGAACACTGCACACAGGCAGTTACCATGATCACATGGCATGGTGCAACTGGCAAGCCCTTGTATCCAGTAAGGGCCAATCAAAATCAATGGGGCTCTGTGTGAGCCCAGCAATTCATCCACACAAACCAGCTTGCAGAATCAGGGCTTTAAATGAGAGCTTTATTACATGCATACATGCATTATGCATGTGTGCACTTGTAGGTGTGATTCCTCTAGTTGATATACTCCAAATGGTCATAAACTTGTAAATTCAAACCTGACAGTTTCCAGAACTAGCTGGTACAGTATGCCCAAAAAGTCCATGCTCAATTTGAACTTTTATAGTTAAGCTACTTTTATACTCTCTGCCTCCAAGAAGTAGTTGTAAGAAAGAATAGGAAATAATTATCAGGAACAGAAGAATAGTCTTTTTCCAGCTGCACATAAAATTCAAATACTGCTGAACAACATATCCTCTGTTTGTTTTTTAGATCATCTTTGGAAAGCACATCAAAAAGAATATTTTCATTAAGTTGCGAGCAAGCCAAAAATAGCGAACATGATCTGCTGTAGGAGAGATACAAGTAGGTACACACTGAGAGGAAGGGTTTGAGAGAAATTTTAAGTTACAAACAAACTTGTACTTAATATCGACACAATGGAGAGAGAAGACAGTTCATGTTTTCTTACCATATGGCACACGAGGATGGTTTCCATTTGCTACGCTGTTATCTGACACTCCAGCGGCTTCAGTTATTGAGCCAGTGAGGGGAATTGTGCTCTCATCATTTGCTTTGGCTCCAGGAAGCTCTTTAAAAACAGGTGTTTCCTCATCTTGAATTTTGTCAAGGCTTTCATCCGATATCCTTGACAATGCGGCATCTTTCTTTAATCGGCCTAAGGAAATGCCAGCATTGTAATTCTAAGGGTTATTCAAACTTATCTAAACTACTCCTTGTATTCCTAATGCAATGCCAGTGTCATTAAAATAAGCTTGAACACAGCAACTTGAGTGGTTTGATTTCTGTTTTGTTTAATTAATCTAGACATATATTCTTTCATGGGAATTTATTACTAGCATATTTCTCTTCATTAGCCTCTCTGAGAACCATGAAAATACCTTGTGCCCATCTACAAATTCACCAGATGAGGTTACTGAAGTCCTCCATTTTTTTAATGCAATGTTTTTTAAAAGTGCAACCCCATTCAGCGAACATTGCAAGGTGGTTTTGTTTTAAGTTCAAAACCTAATGTAAAACCAAAAGCCTTGATTAATTTAACTTTACAGTAAAATAAAAGAAACTGTGTACATATATAGTCATTGTGCAAGTCCTTTTCTTTTCCTTTAACACTAGGGATGTAAAATCTTGGTTAAAGAGTTAACCAATTACCCGTTAACCGAGATCCTGCCCAAAAGGGGGGGAGGAGGGAATTGTCACTCTAGCCCAGGCCACCGGTTACCCAGTTACCAGGAAGGGTGATGCCCACCAGGTAACTGATTACCCATTAACGTCCTTATTTAACACCTACATTTTAAAATGTAAAATAGAATATATTCCAGTTTGCCAGGGATTTTACACCACAAGCATTTCATCTACAAAACACTTACTTGCTATTTTTCTCCTCATCCATGGACACACAAAAATCCACACTAGCCCAGCAAATACTATAGCTATCCCAAATGATATTAGGACTATTATCCAGATAGGAAGTACCAGTCCTAGCACTGTGAATAGAAAAGAAAAGGTAAAGTTTCATATGCAAAAATGTCAGTTCCTTAATATAGTACAACTTCAGTACTAAAGATAACATGTCAGCTAATTCTGCTGCACCTGAACAAAACTGAACCAATAAGCCCCTTCCGCTTCCGCAGGGCTGGAGTTCTGTTTTGATGCAGCAAGCCTGTACAAAGCAAGGGATGAAGCTTTTGAAAAGGTCACTTTGGCTAAGTAAGACCTCAATTACAAATCTGTATTTTCACTTTTTTACCAAATACCATGCAGCCAGGTCAAGAACAAACTATTTTTCTATAGTTAGGAAGTTAACATATTGGAAGTTCATTTACAAACTATACTGAAAACAAATTCTTTGGAACAGGTATTTCACCTGAGAATATTCAGAATAACTCCCCCATTGACACTGACTACAAGTATAAAGAAAAGCCTCTTAAAATGTTCAGGCTTGAATGTTACAAAGTCTCAGCTGTTGGCAGCCTCACTGTTTAGAGATTTGGGGCCCATACTTATCAGGAGTATTTTCTTGTGCACTATTTAGGCACGTATACACCCTGCACAAGAAAGTCAGTGTAAAGATAATGACGCTGGCGAAGTGGGTGTTTCTCGCCCTCTGGGGTTGGTCCACTAGAGAACAGCAGTTTTTTGTTACTGTTGGCAAAGGAAGTAACATCTGCCCTGCATGCAGAATGTCCTCAGTTCACAGCCTCGGGGTAATCCATGAGAAAGGGTTGGTCAGGTTCACACACATGTCCATAGGGAGCCCTAAGCCATGCCAATGCACCATGGGACATGTGAAATCCTAAGCTGGCCTGTAGAGATTTGAAGCTGGTCCTCAGAGTTTCTGCACACAAGCCTGGATCCTGCTCCCGTAGATGTCAGGGCAAAATTCCAGTCAGCATCACTGGACCAGTCCCAGGCTGGACTGTGAACATCAGGATTTTAACACCGGGGTCCTCAACCTTTTACTGAGGCTCCCCCCAAATGCTATAAAAATTGCACAGCTCACCTGTACCATGATAACTGGAGGTGGGGGGGTTGCACATAAAGTCAGGGCTGGTACTAGGGGTAGCAAGCAGATATATTGCCTGCGGCCCCGTGATGCTACATTGCTTAGGCTTCAGCTTCAGCTATCGGTGGTGAGGCTCACGAATGGAAAAAAACTTCTGCTGTCGGAGTCAGCTGCCTCTGTGATACATAACTACGGAGATGTAGCTAGGCTCATAGTGTCTCTGCAATGCATACACCCTCCAGGGAGCTGCTTTCAGGCTACTCCAGCTTTGGACAGTTTCTTGTAATGAGGGGAAAACACAAGAAATGAATTTAGATACTCAAGGCTAGGTAGCTCCACTGGGATTTGGGCTGCTCACTGCAGGTCACAAAAGCCTGGCCGCTCTCACAGCACTGATACCGCACTAGGACAGCAGCACTATGGCCAGGTATCCTGACAGAATCCAAGTGGGATGGTCCTGTGCCTCCTACGAAGCCGCAAGTGCACTGGAGCTAGGGGTGAAAAGATAAATCCCTCCAGTGAACAGACTGCTTGATCTTCAGGCTGACATAAATGGGTATTTTAAAAACCAAGACAACCACTAAGATTCTGGGGCACTAATGGAGCAAGATCGGACAATCCTTTGTCTCTATTATTTGTTAACGTAAGACATTAATGTTTTATTATTATTCAACAGTGCACATCAGTACCTATTAGCCAATACAAAATCAATACATACAAATGCAAGGCAGAACAAAGCTTTCCTTCTGGACTTTGCATGCCAGAGCTTGTACTCACCTGGTGCCCCTGTGTACATGATGGAAAACACATTAATTGCTATTGTAGCAGCATAGAACGCTGGAAGTGCACGAAGCCCATTGGGCACAGGGTCTTCCTGTGTAATAATGAGAAAAGAGGAAAAGTCACATGGGCTGTTGTGTACACAAGGACCAGGGCTAGCACAGATTGGGAAAAAAAATCACCCACTCCCACCCTCAGCATCAGGTGGCTGGATCTTCTGGCGTCCCCTCTACTTCCAATCCTTGCATTCTCAACTCTCCGGATTTGGGCCTGTAAACTATTCATAAAACCTCAATTCACAGCAACAGTGCCTTCAGTGACAGATAGGATAGCAGTTTGATGGCAACTAATTTAAAAATATGGCAGGCAGCACTGACTCGTGGCTCTGCCACTGACCAGCTGAATGGCCTCGGGCAAGTCACTTTGCGCGTGTGCGTGCGTGTGCATTTACTCTTCCACCCACTCATCTATTAAGACTGTAAGCTCTTTGGGGGCAAAGTCTCTTTCTCTCACTGTGTGTTTGTACAGCACCTAATTCAAAGGGGCCCTGATTGTGGTAGGGCCCTCGGTATTACTGATATTACTACAGTGACCAATTCAGTGACATATAAAAACATTACTAGCCTCTATGTTTAAAAACAAACGTATACTGGATTTTTCCATCTGCTGACAAAGGTTTCTGCATGTGCTAAATGTGGGTAAATGTATTAAATCGGTGGGGCATATTGACAGTCACATGTTTAAATGTAGCGCACATGAGCGTAGCAGAGGAAATTCAGATTAATCCTTATGTGCATCACAAGTAATGCTGCTCTCTGCAAAGAATTGCTACTTATCCTGCAGTTACAGTTCTGTAAGACGTTGTCACTAGTGACATTTAGAAACTGAAGTTTCTGAAGAAACTTGAAGAAACATGAAGAAACTGAAGTTACTGAAGAGTTACTTATGCCAAAGAACAAATACTGCACCCATTTAAATTGCCTGCATCCTTTTTTCATTTTGGGTCTCTATGACACTCCATCCCTCATTTGGGCCACAGCAGATTTGAAGGTATGAGGGAGACAGAGAAAGATAATAAAGGAGCATCTTACTTCAAACTCTGCGGGATTGCACACAAATGCAGACAGAGCTGGTAAATTCCATACCATGGAATAACTGAATAATCCTGCTTCCCAGGCCTGCCAACGTCAGGAGAGGGTAGAAGCCACTGCCCTGGGACCTGAGGCTCCCATCTACTGCTGCAAATTCCGGGCCCATTAAATCACTCCTGGAGCCCACGCAGCACCCTCTAGACCCCTGGGTGGCACTGCCGGGATGGGGGAGGAGCTAGCTCCAGCCCCACCCCTTCCACCTGAAGCCCCGCCTCTTCCAATAGTGTGGAGCCAGCCTCCCTTCACCCATCTGGCCTAGGGGCCTGGCAATTCTGTCAGCTCTGCTGCTGCTGCCCTAACTTCAGTTGAAGCCACTAATTGCAGCCTCCTGGGTACCCATAATAATATATACTTGGACTCTTAGTGCACTAGCTGAGGGTTTTGCATTTATTAAGCACCTGTTCAACTCGGTTTTGTTTCTTTGCATTAGCTAATTCGCTCCTATTAAATAGAGGTTATGCTAGCGCTGTCTGGGTTAAGCAGCGTTCCTTATCATTTGCTAGCCTTGTGCAAAGCCTTTTCCAAGAGGAGGTGTTGATAAAGCAGCCTTCCCAGCACATCATGTCCCAGTGAAGCAGAGTGTATTAAAATAAATGCAGTACGTTTGCATAGCACCCTTTTAACTCCTTGGAAATGCCAACAGCCAAATAGTATATAGACTCTAGTGCAGCAATGACGACGGCTATGCACTGGAGCGGACATCCAACCTTTTTAAGCACGAGATCACTTTTTGAATTTAAGTGCAAATGGGATACAGAGTGGGGGGAGGGGCACCCTGACATCAGCACCCCCTCCTCTTCTTTCTGTGCCTTGCACAGCAAGCAAGGGGCTCCCAGGGGTGGGGAGCAGCTCCAAGGCAGAGGGCGGGAGCAGCACAGCAGTGCTGAGAGGGGCAGATGAAGTGCTGGCACTTGACAGCCTCTCAGCCAAACCTGTCAGGATCACCTGTCAAAGGCTCCAAGACATACAAGTAGATCCCACTCTACTGGTTGGTGACCACTGCCCTGCCCCTTACCTTGTTTAAAATTAAGAATCTAATCAGCACGAAGAGCACTCCAGACATCAAACCGGATAACAGTGGGGAAATGAACCAAGAGGCAACTGTGGAAAAAGAGATATAATAAACGATCAGTGGCAACATCCCAGGTATTTGAGGAAGTTCTGCATTATCAAATAGGAAAAGAACCAATGGACGACACAGTTTGGGTGCTCTTATGGGATTTCCAAAAGCACTCAGCACTGGCTTACACCCACTTCCACCAAAGTTGATGAGTGTCTTACTCATGCTAAGCGCTTTTGAAAATCCCATATGCAAGGGGTTTCCAGAATAATGTTGAAATTACAGCAGCAGCACCTCA